TCGCGATTTGAAAATTTAAAAATTTGATAAAATTATATTTTTGAGGAATATTGAAATTTTTAATCTTCGAAAAAATAATTATTGCATTCTCATCAGCTGTATTCATGAATACATATTCGAAATCAAAAGCTTTTACAAATATGGAAATTCATGCATTAGATGCACTTAAAGGCCATGTAGTAGTCAAACTAAACGATTGCATTCTTCTCTACATTTTTAAAGTTTGTCAGAAATTTATGCGTAAATCTTGAATAAACAACGGAATGAAACAAAGAAATAAAGTTAAATCATAAAAACCGAATATAAAATGTAATTGTTTGCAAAACTCAAATACGTATGGATATCAAACCCAAAAAAATCGAAATCAACTAAAGTGGCGAACATTCAGTTGTAGATGTTGCTGCAGTAGTTGAGTTGGGAAAATGAAAACAAAACAAGTTAGAGTGCTATATTCGGCTGAGCCGAATCTTAAATACCCTCCACCAGCAACTTTTGTATTAATACATTTCTAATTAATAAAATATTTGTAGAAATAAGTTTTCTCATGTCTTAAATAGAAAAATCCCAAGATTTAAACAGCCTAAATCTACTACAATTCCAAGATTTATTGAACATTAGAAACGCCACTTTCATTTAAATTTTAAATAGCGCCCTAAGATGTGCTTTAGCGATATCTCGTATTTGCATGTATGCATGTGTGTGAAAGATTTAAGGATTTTAAAAATACATACATATATATAATTTTGTTCTACACAAATTGATAATGCAAATAGTTAAATACGGTTAAAGCGCTTTTAGGGGCAGGACCTAGTATGAGAGATATGACCAAACATAGACCGATCGTGAAAATTTTTTGAAATAGCATTAAGTGCTTTTTGCATTACAAAATAGTATTTATGAACAAAAATAGTATTTATTTATATCATTATTTGGTAATGAGTTATGTGCCTTTAAGTGTTTTTCTGAAAGGGACCTTGTATGGGAGCTATGATCAATTATGGATCGATAGGAAAACAATTTCACAGTAATATTTCTCTGTATATGAGCAATATTTTTGCCAAACTTTATATGGATATCTTAATTTAGTAATGAGTTATGTGCGTTTAAGTGATTTTCGGGAGGGGACCTTGTATGGGAGCTATGATGAGTTATGGACCGATCGGAAAAAAATTATCTGTAATATTTCTGTGCATATGAGTAATATTTGTACCATATGGGTATCTTAATTACGTAATGAGTTATGCGCGTTTAAGTGATTTTCGGGAGGGGACCTTGTATGGGAGCTATGACCAATTATGGACCGATCGAAAAAAATTTTCACAGTAATATTTCTGTGCATATGAGTAATACTTGTGCCAAATTTTATATTAATATGGATATCTGAATTTAGTAATGAGTTATGCGCGTTTAAGTGATTTTCGGGAGGGGACCGATCGGAAAAAAATTTCACAACAAAATTTCTGTGCATATGAGTAATATTTGTACCAAATTTTATATGGATATCTTAATTTAGTTATGAGTTAAGCGCGTTTAAGTGATTTTCGGGAGGGGACATTGTATGGGAGCTATGACCAATTATGGACCGATCGGAAAAAAATTTCACAGTAATATTTCTATGCATATGGGCAATACTTACACCAAATTTTATTTAGATATCTTAATTTAGTAATGAGTTATGCGCGTTTAAGTGATTTTCGGGAGGGGACCTTGTATGGGAGCTTTGATCAATTATGGACCGATCGGAAAAAAATTTCACAACAATATTTCCGTGCATATGGGTAATATTTGTACCAAATTTTATATGGACATCTTAATTTAGTTATGAGTTAAGCGCGTTTAAGTGATTTTCGGGAGGGGACCTTGTATGGGAGCTATGACCAATTATGGACCGATCGGAAAAAAATTTCACAGTAATATTTCTATGCATATGGGCAATACTTGTACCAAATTTTATTTGGATATCTTAATTTAGTAATGAGTTATGCGCGTTTAAGTGATTTTCGGGAGGGGACCTTGTATGGGAGCTATGATCAATTATGGACCGATCGGAAAAAACTTTCACAACAAAAATTCTGTGCATATGAGTAATATTTGTACCAAATTTTATATGGATATCTTAATTTAGTTATGAGTTAAGCGCGTTTAAGTGATTTTCGGGAGGGGCCTTGTATGGGAGCTATGACCAATTATGGACCGATCGAAAAAAACTTTCACAGTAATATTTCTATGCATATGGGCAATACTTATACCAAATTTTATATGGATATCTTAATTTAGTACTGAGTTATGCGCGTTTAAGTGATTTTCGGGAGGGGACCTTGTATGGGAGCTATGATCAATTATGGACCGATCGGAAAAAAATTTCACAACAATATTTCTGTGCATATGAGTAATATTTGTACCAAATTTTATATGGATATCTTAATTTAGTTATGAGTTAAGCGCGTTTAAGTGATTTTCGGGAGGGGACCTTGTATGGGAGCTATGACCAATTATGGACCGATCGGAAAAAAAATTCACAGTAATATTTCTATGCATATGGGCAATATCTATACCAAATTTTATTTGGATATCTTAATTTAGTAATGAGTTATGCGCGTTTAAGTGATTTTCGGGAGGGGACCTTGTATGGGAGCTATGTCCAATTATGGGCCGATCCAAAAAATTTTTCCTCTGAAAGAATTCTATTGACATAAGATTTTAATTTGTAAAATTTTGTGAAGATATCGACATTGTGGCGGAAGTTATTAACAAAAAACCCATTTTCCGGGAATATGTACTTTTGTATGGGAGGTATATGAAATTGTGGACCGATTCTGGCAATTTTCAGCAGGGATCAAGATCTTGTGCAGAAACGAATGTATGGTGATTTTCATGGAATTATCTTGCATAGTTTTCGAGAAAACTACATCAGAATGTGTAAAAAATGCTTATTTTTTTCCGAGGTTGTTTTAAATTTTGATTCATAACTTTTCCAGGTGTGAACCGATTTTGCCCATTTGCAATACCAAACAACTTAGGAAAATGAAGAACATTTTGAGTGAATTTGGTTAAGCTCTATTGCTTCGTTTTATCGTGAGCGTGTTTTACACAGACAGACGGACAGACGGACAGACGGACAGACGGACAGACGGACAGACGGACAGACGGACATAGCTAAATCGACTCAGAATTTGATAAGGACCCAGAATATATATACTTTGTTGGGTCTCAGATGAATATTTCTTGGTGTTACACACGGAATGACAAAGTTATATATACCCTCTATCACCACTGATGGTGGTGGAGGGTATAACAAGTAAGAAATTATAGTCAGGCGAGGCCGACCATATAATATCCTACACCTGTTACAGATACAAAATGTGATTTAGTTTTCATAATAAAGCATTTAAGTTAAATTGTACTTTGCCTCTGATATCCTTAAGTCATGTATTGTTGAATAAAATTGTGGACATTTAATTCAAATTTTGAAGGGGGCTTATTTGACCATATAATTATAAAATTCATGAGGGTCATCAAGGCTAGTATAGAACTTGGTTTTGCAGCTTTTTGTAGAGATACGAGTATATTAAACATAACTATGAACTTAAAAGCCCTATTCGTCGGGTTCAGTTGTATGGGGGCTAGGTGAAATAATGGACCGATGTTAACCATTTCCAATAGGCTTCTTTACCAGTACCATCAGAGTTGCGACCTGAAGTCTGATTAAAAGGTTTACAAACCCTATTCAGGGGTTTAGTTGTATGGGGGCTAGGTGAAATAAAGGACCGATCTTAACCATTTTCAATAGGCTTCGTCCCTGTAGATCATGTACAAAATTTCATTGAATTATCTTCAAAATTGCGATTTGTGGTTTGATTACAAGGTTTACATGGACGGACGAACAGATTTACGGACATAGCTGAATTGACTCAGAAAATGATTCTAGGCCGATTGGTATACTTTAAGGTGAGTATAGGACCAATATTTTTGTGCGTTACAAACATCAGCATAAACCCAATATACCCTCTCCACTAAAGTGGTGTAGGGTATAAATACACATACATATGTATGTATAAGAAACAAACAGACAGAAAACTATAACGTTCACAATTAAATAATGTGCCCGACTATATAACAGCCTCACCTGCACAATGGGGCAAAATAGTAATATTTTAGAAATAAATCTGAAATTTCTAAACGGCCACTTCGATTCGATTTGAGTTTAAGTTTCGAAAATGGACTGTACAAATTTTTTTAGAGTTAGGGCTAACGACATGTAAAAAGTTTAATTCAGTGCTTTTTTTGTTTCCCATTCGATTTCAAAGATTTGTACATTTTTGGAAATCGTTTGTATTAGTATTGAATTTCATTACAAAATCGATATTTATTCGAAATCTAAGAGGATTAGAAGGAGAGTGTATATGGGAGTTACGTTCAAGCATGGACCTACAAAGAGTACACTAGCGACGAAATACGAATTAGGGCCAACTTTATTGAAAATTTATGTTATTTTGTGGTACCCACTAATTAGAATATTTTAAAACATAGATCTATACAGGGAATGTATAATAAAACACAACGAATAAACACATAAATGCATAAACAAGCAAAAACTTTAGATACATTTAAAATGAATTCAATATCGTACATAATAGACAAGGCAATCATGTAGTATTATTTTGTCTATTTTTTTATTTATTCATCTGTTGTGGTTTTGTAGTCATAAAATGAAGAGACAAGTGCAAAAAATAGCTTAATTGACTGAAAGGAAATAAAATAAAATGTTATAAAATAAAAACAATGTAGCAACGTCCTGAAATAAATAATAAAACTAAGACAGTTGTATCTTTAAACGAAAGGGAGGGAGTAAATTTTTAAAGTAAATTAAATTTCAAAATAAATCATTAACTTTTCTCTTTAAAAATTTAACTAAATATATAATATCTAACACTTTATAATTTTATATACGAATTGTTTTATTTAAATGTTCTGTTAATTTGTTTTTATTTTATTTTTAGATCAACCTACAGCCCATTTAAAAATGGGTTCATCCCTTAATCCAGATGATATTAAAGAGGGTGATGATGTCTATTTTGAGTGTGTTATACAATCAAATCCCAAGCCCTACAAAATGTCATGGTTTCATAATGTAAGTATAATTTTAAGAAAAGCACATTGACACCACAACTATCTACAGACGAAAAAAATACAAGGTTAAAAAATAATTAAAAAAAGAAAAAAGCGTTTAGAAAACAGAGATAACATTTTAACATCTTAGGGATCATTAAACAATTTTTTTTTTTTGTCTTACTCTAAAGTTTATTTATATAAATTTCGTTCATATTGTTGCTGCTATTTTTATTGTTGTTACTTCGTTTTCTTGTTGTAAACTTAATTAATTTGTAATAAGTTTAAGTTACCAACAACCATGTGGGGGGAAAACAATTTTCTTATTGTACACCAGGGAGGTTATGCAGACATTTTTAAAACATACATACACTTTAGACGACAGCAACAATTTTTTTTAGTAATTCCTTGTTACTCTTTAGCTATTTTTCTTATTGTTTGTATATTTTTTCATTTAACCAAATTGCACGTGTGCAATTAAGAAATGTTCTAGGGTTTTTTTTTTCCTTTTCAGTTGTTCTTTTTTTCTGTAACAAAAACAACAAAAAAGCACACAACCATTTACAAATTACTTTACGACATAAAAGCTAAAGTAAAGAATCCTTAAAAGATTGATGTTAAGAGTACAGGGTTACCAATGCATTGATGTATTATAATAACGAGCAGCAACAACATTGTGCAATGTTCAAAACATGAATGAAAACAAAGAAAGAAATGAAAAAAAACTAAAATAAAACACTATTTGACAGTTTATCTTACTTTAGTTGCACTTAACACTTACAGGAAACAAAATTATAAAGACTGGAAGTAGAATGGAATTATTTTCTCTTACATAAGGCTTGGTGAGACACTTATATGTACATATGTATTGAAACATTTTTACTGTTCTTTTTTAAGAGTTTAGGTGGGAAAATTAATGAAGATGTTGTTTAATTACTTGGAAAATTTTTATTGTTGCCAGGCGCAAAGAATGTTTTTTCAAGTTAAGAAATAGATTTTTTTCTTTTCTGTTTGTGTCAAATGCATTGATTATTAAATTTAAAACTCGTTCAAAAAATTAACCCCTTTTCTCCAAACACAGAAATAAGATAACTAAATAATAAATTTACTATAATCTAAAACACAAAAAGTATCTGTCGAAAATTTCTAATAGAGAACATTTCTTTTTAATTTTCTCAATAATAGAATAGCGATTTTGTCAAATAATCCACTACACTTCCATACATATTACTAAATTTATTTAGAGCAGTGCGATTTTTCACAAACTAAAGGCCTTATTCATAAAAAAATTTTATTTTATTAACGGTTTATAAATCAAATTTTGTACGAAAATTTTGTTTTCTAAAGCTTTTATAAAAATCAAACAAGTAAAAGACTATAGTCGGGCGTGTCCGACCATATGATACTCTACACCAATTACGAATATTAAATGTGATTCATTTTCAATAATAAAGCATTTATGTTGAATTTCACCGTGATTCTAATAAATTTATTGACAAACGACTAATTTACTGAATGAAGCCATAAACTTGGTGGATGGACTTGTTTGAGTTCAAAGGTTAAATCACTCTCAATTATTATGAAATCCAGTAAGGTCAACTAGGCTTATATAGAACATAGTTGTGCCACTTTTTGACGAGATTTATTGGCGGGATTTATGTTTTTAGAAAAGTTATTTGTGCCGAATTGTAGACATTAAAGCCATTTTCTGAAAGGGGCCCCCATACAAAGCCCCTTTCTAGGTAGATAGCTTGAGCACTCGAGCAAATTGCACTCCGGAAATTCCATATACGTAAATTGCCACTGGCGTGTAAGCACAATGGGGCGGGGGTGAGTCGTTGCAAAAGCTCACCCAGTGAAACCACCGTGAAATAAGGGCCTCGGTGTAGGTGTTCACGTAAAGCACTTCGACATTCGTATGGGGGCTAGGGTCAAATGAGACCCAATCATTACGAAAATCAGTAGTATTATTTATGCTGATATAAAACTTGGTTGTGGCGATTTTTGGAAATATAGTAGTATAATTGACGTAGTTATGAACTAAAAGGCACAAATTGGAAGGTCCGGTTGTATGGGGAATAGGGCAAAACTTAGGCCTATCCTTATACAATTTATTGATGGTATTTAATTTATATAAAAGTTATTTGTGCCGTATTTCATCGTGATACCTATTCAGGTGGTACGGTTATTGAAATAATTGACCGATTTCAACCACTTTCAATAGCGTTTGTCCTTGGGCCTAATTTAATCAAATTATCTTGAAAATTGCGACCAGTAGCGTGCGTACAAGGTTTACATGAACACACAGACGGACGGTCGGACGGACAGACAGATGGACATAGCTAAATCGACTCAGCCGATTGGTACACTTTAAGGTAGGTGTAGGATCAATATTTTTGGGTTTTACAAACACCAGCACAAACGCATAATACCCTCCCCACTATTGTGGTGTAGGGTATAAAAATTTGACGTCCTAGGTTTTCCAATACTTTCTGTACTTGACGGCCTAGAGAAAAAAGCCATATAGGTGTTATATCATGAACTAAATCGTTGCAATATTGTATTGAAAATTTCCAAAAATTTTCAATAAATCTAAAATTTTGCGAAACTAGAAGTTAATGAAAGATTTGATAGACGTCTACAAAAACCACATAAACCCGCACTTTTTGTAAAACTTTTACATACCCTCTTCTCAAAGAGATTATTAGAAATCTATTAAAAATAAATTTTGCTGTCATTTTTATTATCCCTTGCTTCTGAAGGGTTTAAAATATTTTTTCCAGTAAAGAAAAACTTATATGTTTTTTTTTTTTGTATAACATTTTCTTCTATAACATGTTTTTCTTTAAGCTTTCATCTATCCACCATACATCTAATAGTCCTGGTTTTCAGCCAAAGATGAGCTATAGAAAAGAAAAACTAATGCAATTTTCTCTCTTGTCTATGGATCTGTTTGTTTTTAGAAATGTTGGCGTCCGTCTGTTTAACTGTCAGCATGTTTTTCACAGTGATGTGGTAATCCGTTATTTAACTCCAATGTCTTTAGAATAATTTGCTCCATGTTTGTATACACACACACGTACTTACATATATATATATATTAACATACATACAATGTATATTGTAACGTTTTTGTTTTAGTTTAAGAATTGAAGTAAGGGTTTTTAAAGATAAACTTTTCTTCATGTGCAGATGTGTGTGTTAAAATCCTTTTGTGTTTGTGTGTGAGTATTTGAGTATGTGTAGGAGAGTGTAAATAAATGTATTAAATATCTAACATGTAGCCATTAGGAAAAAAAATCCAAACGATTTTTTTTCTGAGATGAAAATTCTGACAAGGACAAATATATGTACATTGTTGCTATTATGCTGGAAAATTATTATTTTTTCCACATTTGCTTTTTTGCAAATTTGTGTTTCAACATAAATATTTATGTATGCATGCACGTAATATACATAACTAGATTTCTGTTTACACCTTTTTCTTGTCTACTTTCATACGTTTATAAAAACCTTTTTTTCTTTCAACACTAACAATTTTTTACATAAGTTCATATATTTGTTATTGCAAGTACTCATTGAAAGGGAAAGAAAATATAGAAAAACAAACAATTATTTACTTGACGTTGACACATTGTAGTCTGGTAGTGTCAACAAGGTCATTTTCATATTCGTCAACATCACAACATGTAAACGCCAGCAATCAGTATCGGTAGAAAATATTTTCTTTTCATTTCACTTATTTTCCGTGTCACACTTAGTTTCAACATTTTATTTGGGTATATCCCTATTTTTGTTGCTTATATTATATTCTCATCTATATCCTTTCATTTCATTGCATTAGAGATTATTCTCAAATGCGCTGTAGCAATTTCATGGGGGATAAGGTTTTTGAACAAAAATGTTTTATAAACGTTTATATTTCAAAAATTTAACAATGATTATTTCTTGACAGAAGTAATTATTATTTGCAATATTTTATCATGTTTTTATTCTCTTTTTTAGGGCAAAGAATTACATCACAATATTTCAGCTGGTATCATACTCTCGGATCAATCACTTGTCCTACAAAGTGTTTCACGTGCATCTGCCGGTGATTACACTTGTCTGGCTGTAAATTCTGAAGGCAAAGGCACTAGTAATCCGGTGACATTACGTATACGTTGTAAGTACACAGATTTATAACACACTTTTTTATTTCATATTATTTTCCTGCTTACTTAGTTGCTTTAAGGCAAATGAATGGCTGTTTTCAAAAAACAGGGGAATAATAGTGTAACAGGAAAACATTTTTTGCAATTTTTTTAATATTTTTTTTAGATATTCGCATTAGTTTGAAAACGTGAACTACTTTCAGCTGTTGTTATTAAATTAATAATTAATTTTGATTAAAAAAAGTTTGCACTCTAATAATTTCTTAAAACTACAAACATTTACTCAGCATTTCCGTAAATGGAAGAAAAACAAAGAAATTAGACAAGAAGAAATTATTTTAAAGGCGAAACTCTCTATTTCAACACTAATGTAATCAGTTTTCGGTACTCAGGGGATGACCCCTACTCATGCAGTGCATTGTGTTGGAACTAGGAAAATAGGTTATGGGATGGAGGATAGAGGGAGTAGTGTTTGTGGACACTCGATTTAAATCTACCCACATTGCAAGTGACTGGAAAGTCTATTGGGGGAAGTTTGTTCCACATACGGACAGTACGACTAAAGAACGAATTCTCTCTGTAGTGCATTGTGCGATCCACTGGCCAATCGATCACAAACGGGTGTGCTCTTGCTGAATGTCGTATGTTACGTGTGAATATGTGGGTTTCGGGAACAATTCCCTAATTTCATAGGAACACATTCCATTGTAGTATCGATAGAACAGTGTAACGCACCCCCAGTGAATAAAAAGAGATGGATACCCTATTATCACCCTATTCTTCGCCCTCTCCTGTAAGCGGTCGAGTAGCCCCAAAATAGACTTTGAAGCGCCGGCCCATACATGAGAGTTATATTCCATTTTAGATCGGATGTAGGTGTTATAGATAGTAAGGAGGTCAGAGGGAGTGGAGTATGTCTTACACCTTTTGAGAAAACCGAGACACTTGAATGCTTCTTTCGACACTTGAAATATGTGTTTGGTCCAGTGAACATCACACTGTATTCTCATGACCAGAACATCAAGAGCTTCTGTCTCCTTAATATGTACACCACCCATAAATATAGATGAAGTAACATGATTCGTGGTGCGTTAAAACACAACATTGAGTCTTACGTACGTTGAATTCGACTCTATTAGCACGACCCCATTCAGAGATTGCCACTAGGTCTTAATTAAGTGAGTTAATTATGTTTTGCATCATTGCCCCAATCTCCAAAGGACTTGGCCTATAGTTGAATGAATAAGAATGGCAAATGTTGCTATCATCTGCAAAAGAATAGATAGGGTTGGAAGTTTGACATAAAAGGTCATTTAAAAAGATAACAAATAGAGTAGGAGAAAGAACGGAGCCTTACGGTACCCCTGAATTTACCTTGAACTCGTTTGATGAGATCACATCTATAACAACTCGTATAAAGCGATCCCTGAGGAAGCTCGATACAAATCGTGAGAAGTAATTACCGACACCTAAAGCAGTTAGTTTTGATAGGAGTGCTCCATGCCACACCCTATCGAATGCCTTAGAGATATCTAGAGCCACCACTTTACTTTCGCCATGGTTTATAATCTATATATATGTAAGTTTTTCCGAAATTTAGGTCAAGATATCTCGAGGAAGAAACAAGATATGGATAATTAATGAATTTGTAAAAGACATTAAAAGAAATTATGTAAAAAAAGAGAAAACAAAAGAAATTGCACTTAATCGTTTTGGTAAGCGTATCACAGCTACATATATCAGAAGATAAACCTTAATGTCCATCTGACCACATAACAAATTTCAATACTTTAGAAAAGTATTCATCGTCACCGAGTTAAAAATTTTTTAGCCTGTGTTATACTTCAAAACTGACGAAAATTATTAAGTATCTACTTTACAGAATTTTTATATAACATCATTACATTATTATAATAGAACTGACGAAAACTAGTTAAGTTTTCTCACACATTTTATAAAATTTTGTTATTTAATCATCATAAAAATCTGTAAATCACATCTTGTATCTCAAGTCTCATGTGAACTGTTCATTTAATGCAAGAAGTCATAATAGAGGTAAAAGCTACAACAAACAATAACTAACTAACAAGAAAAACTAAACATCTAAATAAAAATGTTGTTGAGTTTCCATCTACAATACCTATATACTATGTAGATGCCAGTTTACAGGTGTGCATGGGTAACACAACGTATGAGTAATTTTTCCAAAGAACAAGCTTGGGTCTCTATGGTAACATTGTTTGTTGTATGATTAGATTTTTCACTTCAAGTAGTCGTAAATGTAACAATACATACAACAGTCATACCAGGTAAACTAAAACAAAATTGCCTTTAAGACAATAGAAAAGTATTACAATAAAGTTCAATATTAAAAAAATTTAAGTTAAATTTCCGTTATTACTTTTCTTTTTAACAAGAAAAACATTTTCTTGTATTTTAATTGTATTTTAAAGCTTACGTTGGCACATGTGCTACTCAACTGAAAGCTTGTAATTAATTTTCTCTTTGTTACAAAATGTTCTTAAATTTTTTCGCTGATTATAACAATTATCCTTACAATTGTAAGTAAGACATGAACAAATTTTAACCCAAAAAAAAAAAAGAAGAAAAACATGAAAAATAATACAAAAAAAAATATTGAAAGTGTGCAAAGAATATCGAAAAAATATAACATGCTTAAACAACCATTTGTTTTACTTTTTTTGTTTTTCTTACACTAATTATAGATTTCGTTTGGAAGGATTTCAATTAGTAAAGTTTTGTAAAAGTGCAACAAATAAGCAAGTATTTGTTGAAGCAAAGAAATACATTTTGATAAAAATTTGCTGATTGTGGAAAATGTTAAGGACATGAGGTGAAATACTATGTTTGCAGTTATTGAGAATATTTGTTTGCAATTACCTAGCTATTTATCAACTTAAAAACTAATTAGCTTTAGTAGGTAAATAAGTATCAAGAAAATTTTATAATTTAAATTTTCTAGTTTATAACATATTTGTTAGAACTCTTCTTCTGAAACTATAACAGTTTGTTTATTTAAATTTCAAAACAAATTTTTCCTTTCTATCTTAAAAATAACAACATTTAAGCAGTAATTAGTCCCTTAGACAAATCTTATTTCAATTCCATGTAAGAGCAAACCCAGAAATATGAAAAGCTACAAAAAACATTTTTTTTCAATTTATTTTTAAAAAATGTATACAATAAATTCATTATCACATAATTCTTTAAGTTTTAACCATCTTCTTAAACTTAATAAGTAAAAAGGATTAAATATTTTTTCTTCTTTTCATTTTCATAATCTTTCTTTGTTGTAATATAATTTTGTAAAAAGTAAAAATTGTTTTTTTTTTTGCTAAATAAATACTTGTACCTATAATTGATTCAACCTCATTTATAGTCTGTGAGTCTTATTAAAAATTATTAAGTCAAGTGAAAGGCTTTATAAGCCAAAAAAAAAACATACAATACAGACATTGAGGTCCTTAAGAAATACTTTTTTTTTCGGCTTAAAAAGTACTTGTTAAAATGAAAAAGAAATGAAATTAAAGAAGTAACTTATATTAGCGTAAGGAATAAAAAATGGAGGAAAATCTAAAAATGAAGAAAAATGAAATATTTTTTTATATAAAATCTAATGAATACTTCTACTTTCTTCAATAGCTTTTTTTGCAATAAAACCAACGTGGATAAATTAAACTGAAGTTAAATAGATTTGTGAAGGATATTATTTAAAAAACAAGGTTTTATTTTTATTCTACAGTAGTGCCAATGATTAATATGATTTTCAAAAAAAAAAAATAAAAAAAATTATTAAAAAACAATAAAAAAATCAATTTTTGCAAAATTCGCCAATTCTCGAAATGTTGTTGAAAACCTAAAAAAGAACCGTGTGTCGAAAAAACTATAATTTTCTTTGATTTACTCTCTGAAGCAAGGTTGTAGCTCGTGTGAAAAAGAACAAAAATTGTAAACATATAAAATCGAAAAACTTCATATTCAAGATCAAAATGGCGATTTTTTACCTATTAATATTTCAAGTATTTCTCGAAATTAGACGTATACTTAATATTAGTAATATGTATCAATAAATCATTAACACGTATACGTACAGGTGTCGTTAATAAAATCAGTGCAATTTCACAATGTAATACTTTCCACTTGAAATGAAACAAGTAAGAAAGTATAGTCGGCCAAGGCCGACCATATGATACCCTACACCAGTATCTTAAATGTTTATTAATTATTATATTGAATTTTGTCTTTTTTGATGTATTTCTGATTTTTTGAAAGAAGCTATATATGGGGCCTAGGATCAAATATTAACCGATCCTAACAAAATATGGTAAGGGAATTTTTGTTGACATAAAATGTAGTTTTGTCGAATTTTATCGAAATATTTGTGTTTAAAAGGGAGTTAACGACGTTCCAGGCATTTTCAGATGGTGGATTGTAGGAGGCCTATGGTCAAATAAGGCTCGATCATTATGAAATTTTGCAGTATCATTTATGCTTATATAAAACATAATAGTGCCTATTTTTGGAGAGATATTAGTATATACTTCATATTTATTGGCTCTAAAACCCAATTTAGAGGACTGATATCAATCAAAATCCATAGAGTTCGTCCTTGGGTCAAAAGTAATATGTGTACCAACGACAGATAGACGGACGTATATGCTTAATCGTCTCAGAAAATGATTCTGAATCGATTGTTATACTTTAAGATGGGTATGGAACCATTAATTCTGTGCATTACAAACATCAGCTCATATCCAATATACACTCCCACTAAAGTAATGAAGATTACGTTTTTTTTTTTATATTTTTTTTTAATTTTTGTTCGTTATGACAAGAACTACAACTTTGCCTCAAAGAGTAAATCAAATTTCCGAATGGTATGCAAGAACCTTGGATGAACCTAAGGGATTCGGGGTAATTATTTATTCCAAGACTATTAATTATTGAAGTAGTATTGAAGTAGTAATCTAAGGTCGACCTAACTTTCTTACTTTTCGTGAATTTAAATTTACTATATATATTACAAATGAAAATACAAAAGGCAACACAGCTTAACAGTTGAGACAATATGTTTATTAAAATATAAAATGAAAACAAACCGAAAAAATACTAAAATAAAAATCAAAAGGAAACAGCTCGCTTGGCGGTCGCATAGCTGCATTAAAAACAATAGAAATACTCGTATAATAAAAATAGACAACAAAACAACATCAAAAAGTGGCACAAATCTCCTCAGTTCTTTTTTATTTTTGTTTAGGATTTTTTTCCTAAAAGTAAATCTATACAGTATATGCAAAAATGCAGATTATACTTAAATGAAAAAAAGTGCTTGAAAAAAACGTAGTTTTCTTTTCTAGCTGTCCTTTTCAGTGCCTTTTTGTGCCCATCATCAACAAAAATTAATGGTATATTAATTATGGCATTTCCTTTGTAACACATCGGAATACCGATTATAGATCTGGGCACTTATAATATTCTAGAACGATCGTGCCATATTCATATGTTGAAAATACAATAGATTTTGAATGTGATGAGCTGAAAGTCTGAAAGTATTAAAAGATATTCTCTATTGAATGATCTTATTTGAACTGAAAAATAGCATTATCAGCCTACGATTTTACCTTGACCCTATACATGTGACCCTCGAAATGTAGTTTAAATTTTCATAAGTATGTTTTTACAATCTTGATAATATTTTTTACAAGTATGCAACCCCTTAATATATTGTTAAATATGGCGAACATCGGTCCGTCTTTGAACCAAGCCCCACATAAGGACCCCTGAAGAAAATTACTTTAAGTTCATCCATAATAAAATTAAGAAGTAATTAATATCTTATTAAAATAAGATTAGAAATTACCAAAGGAACGATCGATAAAGACCTAAGTCCAACTTTGGGTTCGTTTTTAAATAGATCACAAATTCTTCAATAGTGGGTACATTAGATTCAGCATAACCGAATATAAAACTCTTACTTATTTCATTTGTTGTTGTCTTTTTCTTATGCCGTACTTAAAGGTTCTTTGGCCGTTTTCATCTGCATCTCTAAGTAGGGATGAACGTACATAAAAGTACATTTGTATTAAATGGATTTTTATTTTAAGCAAGAAGATTTTTATTTATTATTTTCTGTTCTTTTGTTTTTAACATTCATAAGATGGAATTTATTTAAAAGAGCAAAAAAAAACAAAAGACACATGAAGACACAAAAAGAGAAAGAAATAAAAATAAGTCTCCCATTGCTAAATTCCTATTAAAAAATATAGAATAGTACATTGTGATGATAATCACATAAAAGGATAAATGTTTGGGATTTGCTATTGTATTGAGATGAGAGCCTTTTCTTTGTTACATTCTTGCAACTATATTCCATTTTTATTTGACTTGAGTTTTGTTGTTTTCCAAGTAAAAGTAATAATACAAATATCGTATGATAAATGGAAGAAATATGTCAAATGTAATTAGAATACATATATGAATATTAGACGGGTAGCCATTGTAAGATGACAAGAGAAATTATGAAAATTTGTTTTTATGAGTAACCTTTTTAAAATATTTCTATACTGCTGATAGTAATGCACTATAAATTTCATAAAACTCAAAAAATACTTTTTGAAATTATCACTTGTCTGTGAGTCACTCTAATATGCTTAGAGATATACAGAGTGTCGTAAAATTGTACACATAAAAGTGTCTATATTCATACAAGATAAATAAAAGAAGAGGATTATATAACGATTTTGTGGTAGTTTTAATGTTCCATTAAAGACGCCTGAAAGGAGAGATAAACGATGGTGTATACTAAATTTAATATAAGTTCAATGACCTTTTTACTTTTATTCAAAAAACAGGCAAATATTAGCTGGATATGGTAAATTATTTACCATCATAAAATATAAAATAAGGCAAATAACAAAAAAAGCCTATTTAACTTGTTTAAAATCCCTTAATAAAATTACATTTTAAATTTTGTTTTTCCTTTATTTTTTGTTTTTATTTCGACATCTTTTTTAAATATTATACGCCAAAATTATGGTTTACCATTGACGAATGTATGTGCTTTAACATTAGATTTCGTCTACACGTGCCTTAAAAAAGAAAAAAAAAATATTTTTTTAATGTATTTATTTATATAAAATAAAAAGAGAACACAAATGGTAAACAATTTGTTTCACAAAGTTTTAAAGTACATATTGGTTGTTTAAGTGTAACAAGTCTAACGTATTTGTTTTAATATAACTTTTTATATTATGTTTTAAATAAAAAGTTATATTTTTTAATTATCTTGATTTATTAAGTCTAGTGGTTGTTATATTCTTTTTGGATATAGAAGCACTTCATGATGATAAATTCTGATCTTTTTTCAGTTTTTGCTCAAAACTGGACAGTTTTATGTTCTGTAATAATGCATCATAATATAACATCATCCCACACAAAAAAGCTCCTTTCAGAAAATCACTTGTTTAATATGTAGGCTACCATTAATGCAAAGATTCCTTGTTTATTTCCAAAATGTTGAGTCTGCTTAAATTCTTTTTCAGCAGACTCTATAGTTACCGAAATAAGCCAAAATGCCATTACCTATTCACTGCTTTGAAACGGTTGCCAAAACTCATTTTTATTCAATAACTTTCTTAAATAAATATATTAAAATGAAATTATATACCCCATTATTGTCGGAAAAGAATTAATAAACTCTGATATTATCGAAACAATTGTCTTACTAGATCTATGTTGAATTCTATCATCATCTGTACTTATATCGATATTGATATGAACATAAGGGTAATATTTAAAAAGGGTCTTTAATGAGGGCCCGCCCTTATACGATGGTGGTGCCGAATTTCACTGCCAATTGTGGACCGATATTTCCCATATTCAATACCAGACAAATTGCAACTAAAATATTTATGCAAAATTTCATCTGTGTTTTCAACAGATAGACAGACAGACAGGCGGACAAACAGACGGACAGACAGACGGACAGACAGACAGACCGACGGACAGACCGACGGACAGACCGACGGACAGACCGACGGACAGACCGACGGACAGACAGACAGAGAGACAGACAGACAGACAGACAGACAGACAGACAGACAGACAGACAGACAGACGGACAGACAGACGGACAGACGGACATGCAGACGAACATGTCTAGATCGTCTTAGAATCTTATAAGGACCCAGAATATACATATATTCCTACTGGACCTTAGACGAATATTTCGATGTGTTACAAACGGAATGACAAAAACAATATACCCCCAACTTTTTTGATGGTGGGTATAAAAATACAGTTTAAATGTTCCCATAAAAGTTGTAGGGTATTATCATCTGTTTGACCAAGTTCAACTAATTTTTATATATTTTGCAATATTTTATTTAGTGTTCTCTTCCTTGAAATTTTGGTTTTCAAATACTTTACCAGTAGTACTTTGTTTTATTACACCTCTCTTAACTATAATAAAAGAAACTCTTTCCTTTTTTTTGGTTGGAAAAAATATCTCAGCAAAAAATGAATTAAATTTAAACAAATTAAAATTTATTATTCAAGTGTTATTTATTATATTGTATTATGTATGCGCAGTAAAATTTTCATTAGTATCCTGCGGAGTTATTTAATTGCTTAACCGTATTGGGGGGGAACGGGAAGAAAATTGTTGCACGTTTGTTTCTTATTTTTTCCTTTATGGAAAAGGTGCAAATTAAAAATGTAATAAATTAAGCAAGATATTTGAAAAATTAAAAAAATACAAATATTTACTATCACCGAAGTCACACAAAAGAAGCTTCCATAAGGTCAGACGAACAAATTTCATATCACTAGAAGATCAAAATTATTTCTCATATAATATGTTTTTTCAAACCACTTACTCTTGTAGTTTTGGCAGACTTAAAACAAGAATTGCATAAAAGTTAAAAAAAAAAAAAAATGTTTTGCTGACCAGTGTAATTATTAAACAAGAAAGATTTTAATGAATTAATTTAATAATGTCTACATATTTTCAAAACCAAAAAAAGTATGTTTCACAAACCAGCAATTTCAAACCCTGTCATGGGAAGTTATTTCATCTTGAAACCAGAAAAAAATGTTTTCTTTTTTATTTTAATTTAATTGTAGTTTAAGTATAAGTTTACAAAACCAAACTTAATCTGTATCATCTTTCTGGCTAATTACACTTGAAAATTAAAAACTTTTGTTATACTTGTTACAACTAACAGAATAAATAAAAATGCAATGTACAAAAGATAAAAAAAATGGAATGAACAAAAAAGATTGTTTTATAAATACTAAGTAAAAGAATAATAAAGAAAAACCACAAATTATTTGTACTTTTATACAATCTTAAAAAAAGGATTCTAAAACATAATTTCTCAAAAAAGAAGCACTGTGTGAACTACGTACAAATATTTAAAAAAAAAAACAAACAATATTTAAGCAATTTTAAGCACCTTTCGCCTTTAATTAATAAACAGATAAAATGTATGTTTTAAAAATGTTATTTATGCATATTCCTGGTCAGTAGTTAAACTATAAACTTACTACTTAAACACCCAAGGGAAATGGTGTATATGCAAGCAGTACTTTGCTTTATTCCATTTATTTTTTTCTCTCTTTGCCAAATATACACATATGTATAAATGTGTATGTGTATATTTTCATTAACTTACTTTAGTTCCATGTACAAATATTTTTGTAATTGCTGTTTTTGTTGTTTCTTTTACACAGATGCACCCATTTGTTCAACAGATCACGATGAACTGCTGGGAGCCTTGAAGCATGAAACTTTAGCGTTAAAATGTGAAGTAGACGCATCACCGCCTGCGGATTCATTTCATTGGACATTTAACTCATCTGGCGAACAAACTGAATTACCAGCACGTTTGCATTCAAGTGAAGTAAGTTGAAAAAAAATCCTAAATACAAAAACCCAATAGCAAAAAACCATGCATTTTGAGCTTGTACTTGATTTTTTTTTAATTTTAGTTTTCTTCTTTTTTTGGATTCAGCTATTTTTCGAAAGTTGATTTTAGAATGATGTTGCAAGAATTTGAAATGAATTGCAACATTGTAATTTAAATTTAAAATTAAGAAATTTATTAGCGTTTAATCTTACTTCCAAATGAAAAAAGCTAATAATAGTTTAAAGCAATTTTAGTGCAGAAATAATGCAATAAAAACTATGCATTTGGGCCGAAAACTTTATTTTTGATCTAAATGTTCAAATATTGAATATTTTAGGAAAACTTAAACTTTTGGTAAAATATTTATAGAAATTTTGTTTAAAATTCGAAACTTCAAATTTTTATTGAAAAGTCAAATCTTCGGTGAAAAGTCCAATTTTCTGTAAAAATTAAAATTTTTGTAGAAAAAACGAAACTACATTTTTTGGTGATATATCGAAAATTGAAGGTAAAGAGTCGAATTTTTAGTAAAAATACTTTTAAAGATGCCTGTTAAGATCATTATCATTTTTTATAAAAATTCCCTTACACAGAGGGAAAAGGAAATATACACGCCTGGTACCAAATTGACACCAAATAGTTTATAATTTTTCAATAACATCCGTTGTCAAAGTATATACATACGAACGACAACACTATGTAATTTTAAAAATGCAACGTTGTCAATATTGCAGCAATTTGTTGTCGAAATCTAAATTTTATACACATCCGTTGTCTAAATGTTAACAAACGTGGTAAGCTCACTATTGGCAACGGATTGTTTGTCAATAGTGAGCTTACCACGTTTGTTAACATTTAGACAACGAATGTGTATAAAATTTAGATTTCGACAACGAATTGTTGCAATGTTGTCAACATAACATAGTGTTGTCGTACGTATGTATGTATATAATTTGACAACGGATGGTATTGAAAAATTATAAACAGTTTGATGTCAATTTGGTACCAGGCGTGTATATTTCTTTTTCCCTGTGTGTATATCGTATTTTATAACTCTGCCAGCAAATGAACAACAACCTATACAAAATGTTTCATTATGTTCAACTTGAAATCGGCAAAATGAACAAATATTATTACATTAATAAAAACATATATTGTTTTGTAATTTTATTTATTTTGCTCGTCCCGGTTTACGCTTTATGTTAATAATTTTAGTTGCTAGTTGCTTTACATTTCCTGTATGTTTAAAATGTTGCACGTATTTTATGAGGTCGGTTTTAATGTTTCTCTCCAGCTATGTTTTGTAACATGAAACTCAACTTTGTACCAGGACATAAAACAAAAAAATTAAACAGACTTAATATTTTGACCGGACTTTTGTAACAAATACAAACAAACTTATTTACTAGTTAATGAATAAATCGCGTGTTTTTTTCTTTCTTTTAACCATTTTTTTATTTCCTTGTTGTTATTTCTGTTTTCTTTATTGTTTTGTTCTAGATACAAGTTTGTTGTTTATACAAGAAACTGACGAAAAAAAGTAACTGAAAATAAGACAAAAATTTTTCCAAAATATTCAAGAGAAAAATAAAAAAAGAACTGAAACCGGAAACGGAAAAGCTGTGTTTTTATTGTGTTAACAACCATTCTCTTTGAATTCATTACAGCAACTTTTGCATAGAAAAAACATAGTCAAAACAATAGCATTTTTAATTTTGTAAATTATATTTTTATTTATTTGCTGTTGAGCAGTTTTTTCCCTTTTCTTATGGTCTTAATGCTGTTCCTTTTAACCTTTAAGTCATCAGTTGCTTAAGCAATAATTAAACAAAATTTAATTAGTATAAAACATCAATTTCGTCATAAAATTTTTACTCATTATCTCTCTATCTCTAATCCTCATTGCCCATTTTGGTAGCTTTTGCATGCTGTTGCAAGCAAAACTTTCTTCTTTTGTTAAAAGTTTTTTTTTTGTGTGCGAAGCATACAAAAGAAAAATCTAGCTTTTCATTTATTCATGACTTAAAAAACAAATGAACATTTGCAAAATATGTATATTGTTTTTTTGTTTTTGCTTTCAAATCCATCTAACGGAAATTAATTTTTTCCCGTCAATATGTCTGTTAATTATTTAAAAAAATTATATATAGAAAATATGTTTTAAAACAAAAAAGTTTTTGTTATCAATATGCACAGATGGTGCTTCAAAATAATGTTATTTTATTATATAAAAAGCAGTAGCACAAGATAAGAGCAAAAATTAAATATTTTTATTTTTATATTTTCATATATAACTGCAACTACATTTCAAATTGGAGGACATTTTTATTAAATGTCCATCAGTTTTATTTCGATTTTTATACCCTCCACCACCATCAGTGGTGATAGAGGGTATATATAACTTTGTCATTCCGTGTGTAACACCAAGAAATATTCATCTGAGACCCAACAAAGTATATATATTCTGGGTCCTTATGAAATTCTGAGTCGATTTAGCTATGTCCGTCTGTCCGTCTGTCTGTCTGTCTGTCTGTCTGTGTAAAACACGCTCACGTTAAAACGAAGCAATATCATTTAACCAAATTCACCCAAAACATTCATTATTATCCTAAGCAGTTTGGTATTGAAAATGAGCAAAATCGGTTTACATTGGGAAAAGTTATGAATCAAAATTTAAAACAACCTCGAAAAAAATAAGCATTTTTTACACATTGTGATGTAATTTTCTCGAAAACTATGCAAGATAATTTCATGAAAGTCATCACACATTCGTTTCTATACAAGATATTTATTTCTGCTGAAAATTGCCAGCATCGGTCCATAATTTCATATACCTCCCATACAAAAGTGCATATTCCCGGAAAATGAGTTTTTTGTTAATAACTTCCGTCAGAATGTTGATATCTTCACAAAATTTTACAAATTAAAATTTCATGTTAATAGAATTCATCTAGAGAAAAAATTTTCTGGATCGGTCCATAATTGGTCATAGCTCCCATACAAGGTCCCTTCCCGAAAATCACTTAAACGCGCATAACTCATTACTAAATTAAGATATCCATATAAAATTTGGAACAAGTATTGCTCATATGCACAGAAATATTACTATGAAGGGTTTTTCCAATCGGTCCATAATTGGTCATAGCTCCCATACAAGGACCCCTCCCGAAAATCACTTAAACGTGCATAACTCATTACGTAAATAAGATATCCATATAAAATTTGGAATAAGTATTACTCATATGCACAGAAATATTACTGTGAAATTTTTTTCCGATCGGTCCATAATTGGTCACAGCTCCCATACGAGGTCCCCTCCCGAAAATCACTTAAACACACATAACTCATTACTAAATTAAAATATCCATATAAGGTTTGGTACAAGAATTCCTCATATGCACCGAAATATTACTGTGAATTTTTTTTCCGATCGGTCCATAATTGGTCATAGCTCTCATACAAGGTCCCTTCCCGAAAATCACTTAAACACACATAACTCATTACTAAATTAAAATATCCATATAAAATTTGGTAGATGTTTTGTTCTCACATATATAAATATTACTATGAAATTTTTTTCCGATCGGTCCATAATTGGTCATAGCTCCGTACAAGGTCCAATCCCGAAAATCACTTAAACACACATAACTCATTACTAAATTAAAATATCCATATAAAGTTTGGTACAAGTATTGCTCTCACATATAGAAATATTACTATGGAATTTTTTTCCGATCGGTCCATAATTGGTCATAGCTCCCGTACAAGGTCCCCTTCCGAAAATCACTTAAACGCACATAATTCATTACTAAATTAAGATATCCATATAAAATTTTGAAATTTTGTCTTTATATACATAATTGGTCATAGCTCACATACAAGGTGCTTTTACGAAAATCTCTTAAACTCACATTACTCATTACCAAATAAAGCTATTGATACAGTTTTGTATACAAAAATTATATTTCAAGCTTTTTTCACGATCGGTTCATAACATGGGTGCGGTCGGTCCTATACATGTTTCCCTTCAGAAAATCACATAAATACTCATAACTTATTACAAAATTAAATAAATCTTGGGATTTTTTCTATTTAAGACATGAGAAAACTTATTTCTACAAATATTTGATCAATTAGAAAAGTATTAATATAAAAGTAGCTGGTGGAGGGTATTTAAGATTCGGCTCAGCCGAATATAGCACTCTAACTTGTTTTAATTTAACCTTCGCCATGGGAGGCAGATTGATTTTGTTTGTGAAATTTAATATTGATGATATTTAGGGCATTTATGTAAAAACATAAACTATGTAGTTGACTTTTGCCTTTTATTTAGAATTTTAATCAATTAATTACTCTCACTAAAAAAATGTATTTTGCTTAAAGTGTTTTATTGTTTTAAGGAAAGAAATCCTTTAACGAATTTTCTCCATAAAAAGCTATAATACTAGAGAACAAAATGGATTTCTGTTGGAAATTTAAACCCCCTTTAAAGTAATTAAAAGTCTATTCAAAAAAGCCTCCTCATAGAAGAAATGAACTGATATCACCCAAAATCAGTAGGGTTCATCCTAGGGTTAAAAGTTATATGTGTACAAAATTTCAAAGAATTATCTTCAAAATTGCGACCTGTAGTTCGATTACAAGGTTTACATGGACAGACGGGCGGACTCAGAAAATGATTCTGAGCCATTTGGTATACTTTAAGGTGGGTATAGGACCATTAATTCTAACATCGGCACAAATCCAATATACTTTGAACATGTTTCCTTGGTGAAATATCCATCTTGGTGTTATTGCAATATCCCGGGGAAAACAGTGCTACCAATACCTCTAGTCTGCCGGGATTATAAACTGGTGATGATCAAATGTATCATCGGCCTTTCCTTGGAATGATTTGACATGTTGTCTAACTAGAGCACCATATAATCTGGTACTACAGGTGGCCAGTTGCCCACAGGACTTGTCCTGACTGGTCAGTTGGTTGAGGCTTCTTCGGGATCCTCGTAGTGGCTGTGGTTTATACTCAAATTCGCGGGGAGAAAATGTTGGCTCAAGGACTGATATATCCATATGCCATATATGTCTGAATTCTCTCTCCGGTGCTGTTGCCATCTCAACAGATGTCTCTGGGTGATGTGCCAGAGCAAATAATGCTGGATTCCTGAACCCGTTGAGTATCTCTTATTCTTCGCATAGTAGGGCGCCAGTAAAGGTTGGGGAATTTTCAGGTTGACACTGTCATTCCTTAAATCGTTTTTTATGGTATGAGATTGGAACTGATGTAAATGGTGAACGATCGGGTAAGACTCCACTACCCGACAGGAAACTAGTACTGATTTAGTAGACCTTTTACTTCAGGGAAGTTCTCGGTACTGTTGCCATCTCAACAGGATTGATATTGTTTCATACTACTCCGGGGAAATTATTATTATTGACATTGGAAATTTCTACATCCTTTGTCAAGTTATCTGACATACAGAGGGATCCTGATTTATTGGCTGGGTATTTCGGACTAGCATATACGTCTCCAGGTGCTGTTACCGAATCAACAGAGCCATCTCAGTAGTGTGGTTCCGCGTGCTTTAATAGGTTAAGCAATGCACTGGAATGGGTCGTTAGTTGATGGAGATTGCATTTTAAATAATGCAGTCTTTCATTGTCACTTTCCGGTATAGCGAAAGATTGATTTCTACTGACGTTGGGGTTGTCGCCCCTTCCATTGACTTTAGACCAGTGATTGCCTTTTCCTTGATTGATCCCATGCTGCCTGCCATTCCGCAACAGGGCTATTATGACAAGAGATTAGATAGCTCGAGTACTTCAGCAAAGTGCTTGTACATGGACCGGCTCAGCTCAGTTCTTTATAGAAGGATTCAGGGGCATGTAGTAGACTGTCTCAAGTCTACCCAGTGGATGAAAAAGACCACCGTGAAATAAGCCGCCAAGGCAGGTGTTCACTTTAAGCACTTAGATATCTTAGAAATACTCTCTCCACTAAAATGGTATAGGGTAAAAAAGAAAATACAAAAATAAATACATATGTTGCAAAAAATTCCAAAAATTTTTATTACCAAAATATTGATGAAATAGCATTTAAACTATTAAGAACAAATTTTGCTAATAGTAATAGGACTATTATCATCCCGAATCGGTTTCATAAGTTGGGTCACTTGATATAAAATCTCCCAAACATATAAACTATATTTTTTAATATAAAATATTTAAAGAAAAGATATTTTCTTTAAAGAAATATCTTAAACTTTTTACATTTAATATAATATATCGTCACCTAAAATGCAGAAGGGCGTAACAACATTTTTAAAAAATTTTCAGGAGAGACAAAAAAACTATTAAAAATAAAAACTATTGGTGTTGTAAAAATTACTTTTTCTTACATGTAGTACAGCCCAACGTCAATAAAAACTATTGAATATGTTTAATGCTGCCAGACAATGTCTTTTCTGGCGGGTGGAAAAGTTACGCCCTTTGAATAAAGTCGGTGCTTTTGACAATAGATGCAGTAGACCCTTTTCAATTAAAAAGTCGGGTTTCAAATTTTTTGTTGCTATGCCCTTTTGCAATTCAGATAACGATATGCATTTATAGTGCAAAAACTGTACACCATTAGTCCAATTAAAAACTTTGCGTTTATAATTCTAAACAAACAAATGTAGCTTTAGCTTTTTGCAAAATAAACCAATCAAATTCAAAAACTCTTTATTTGTAGGCTTATAACAAAACTTATTCCCAATTTGCATATTTATGTCACTAAACTGAACACACTTTGGTAAACTTTTTTTTTTTTGCAAAACATTTTAATATTTTGTAAATATTGGTTTTCAAACTAAATAAAGTGAGAGTATTTTTTTTTTTTATTATTTCTAATCCATACTTCAATTATACTTTAGGGAAAATTTATAAAACGAAATGTATGCCATATTTATGATAATGATTTTTTTTTTTTTTTTTTTGAATAAACATTATTAGTATTTGTTGTATTATTTAATCCGCTCTAATACGGCAACAACATTGTACATATTGTAAATTTTTTTTCCATTTCGAATTTTTGTATTTCGGTTTTGTATTTCAGGAATATCGCTAGGGAAATATTTATATATGTAGCTATTTATTCAGAAATTTATACAGTTTCTTTTTTGTTTAAATTTGTTCTATTTGTTTAATATAGTTTTTTTTTTTTTTGTTGGGGAATAAAGTAAGCTTTTAGTTGCCATTAAAATAAATGCTTTAAAATTTGTGTTAATGGCAAAAGTTTTGATGATTTGATATTTTGTTTGATTGTTGTTTTTTATATATATATTTTTTTTTGTTTAGTGGTTTACCACAGAAATAATGAAAACCATAATATACAAAAATCGATGAATAAAATTAAACAGATTTTTATGATTGCATAATATTTGAATATTCCTTTTTACTGTATACTTTTTGTTTTATTATATTTTTGAAAATGTTTTTTTCAAGAAGTTATTAAAATTGTGTGTGGGAGTTATGAAAAGTTTTGATTGGAAAATAATTTCATGGTTATATTAATTGGTATAAAGAATAATATAAAATTTTAGGCAAATTAAGTACGTGAGTTGGGTAGAAGAAGATATTTAAGGGACTTTTTCTTTATGAAACAAAGTTTTATGAAAAAGGATTCCTTTTTGTTTAATCAATTTATGTATTTTGCTTATTAGCTAATTCGATTTTCTTTTATTTACTTCAATTACAGACTGGCATGTCACGTTTAAACTATACACCCACCACAGATTTGGATTATGGCACCATCTCTTGTTGGGCCCGCAATTCCATTGGTATGCAGAAATCACCCTGTGTCTTTCAAATTGTTGCAGCAGGTAACTATATTTTTAAAAAACTTAAATAAAATACTATTTCCTTAACTTTTTGTTATATAGAAAAAGTAATAAAAATATATAAATCTCTGCTTAATTAATTAAAACACAAAACTTATCAATTACTTTTAGGTCGTCCATTTCCACTGCAAAATTGTTCAATAACAAACCAATCAGCAGACTCCTTACAAGTTGATTGCATTGAAGGTTTCGATGGTGGTTTACCACAAAGCTTCATGTTGGAATTAGTTGAATTAAACAATTTGCGTTTGGCACGGAATATAACTTTACAGGTAAGTTACATACCATCAACCACAACATCCTTCACTAACTTTAAAAGAGCCAACCATCTAAATAAATGTGTATGTCATCAGAGTAAATAAATCTGGTTCAAACAGCTGAAGCGTAAGGAGTAAAATTTTCAAAAAAAAAAAAAAAAAGAATATTTTAAAAACTAAATACATACATACATATATATATAAGTAATTTTCGTTAGTTAATTACATTAAGGTAAAAAAATTATGTGCAACTTTTGCCTAAAGTATTATAGTATGTGTATGTATGCATGTATATACATATGTGTCTGTGTAGCATCTTTACATGTGAAAAACTAAGTTTTGACTTTTCTTTATAGTTATTGTGTTGCTCTTATTCGTGCCTGTGATGGTATTAGTTTTATTTTACTTTATTCCTACAACACGTAAAGGGTCTTTCAACAAGAACTTACTTTTTAAATTGGGGTGTTTCGTTTACCAGTCTAAAAACCCAAAAATTTTGACGTAATTAATAGAATAAATGCTGTTTTTTAATAAATTTGATTGAAAATGTTGATAAAGAAAATGACATACGTATACGGAACATGATGGACATTTGCCCAATATCACTTTTAATTAATAATTACCAAAACCTACTCTTCCCAATACGATAAAAGTTTGAATGATTTTTCATTTATTTATTTTAGCTGTAAACTATAAGTTCTTCTTGAAAAACTCTCTACATACATACTAACATTTGTATGTATGTATATATGTATGGGTGTTATGTAGTATATGGTGGTTTCTTCAAATGTAAAAATAAAACTTTTCCTCCGAATATATGTATATGCATAGCTGCAAAATATCAATTGCCAAAATTAAAAAACTTTCTACAAACTTTTCATTTTCTAAGCGAAATGAAAATTCAAGAAACTGGCATGTTTAGAAACACTTTTTGCTTTTGAATATCTTTTATACCCTACATCAAAACATAGTAAATTGTATATTGCAGAGGTCAAAAAATAAATAAAAATTCTTCTGATATAAATATGAAAAATTAAAAGAACCTCTTTAGTGAAACTTCATAATGTTTATGATTTATAAATTTCGATTAATTAATTATAGTAAACATTTTGGAAATATTTCGAAAAATTATAAAATTTTAAATTTTTTGACCTACCAAAAAACTACAAATAAAATAGCGATGTCCTCCTATCTACCTGTCATACAGTAATGTCTGTTGAAGTCAGTTTTCTAAAGACCCCACTTATCTTCGAGATAATATAGGCTTATTGAAGACTTGAAAATTTGAATAAAGTCGAAACCCTGAGACCAAGTTATACTATTCTAAAGAGCGCAGAATAGGAATCTGACATTTTATAAATAAAGTTGTCTGGGCGACAAAAAAACTAAAAATTTAGTTTTTTCAAACTTCAGAACATGATATCTCGAATCCAAGCTGTAATGGAGAAATTCTGAGACTCAACGCAGTTCAATCCTTTGAAAAAGTATACTTTGGTTTCTGGGTAAAAAATTTATCCACCTGTTTGCTTCTATTAAAATAATTGGTTAAAAAAATGAATTTTGCATTGTTACTTGTTTATGTTCTGTTCATTATTGCCAATAGGTGAAAATGAAGCTTATTTCCAAAAATTTCTGTTAGTTAGTGAAAGTCGGCCTTAACCTGATATACTCTCATGTTTTTTCAGCGTATGTTAGGGTGGCCACAAAATGAAAGTTTCTAATATACAAGAACAAAAATGTTGAGAAAATATATCTTAGAATGAACGAAGATTTAGTTTCGTTGGGAACGTCAGTACCTTATTTTTTCTCAGTATAAACGGACCACCCTAATATATGTATGTATATTTTTGTATTTATGTAGTGGTAGATTTTTTATAGGTAATTTAAATTTGTTAGCAAAAAAATTTTTTTGCTACAAATAAAGTTTTCCTAAAAAACATCTATTTGCAATTTTAACAATAAGAGAGAATACCGTGAAAGTTTTTAAACAAATATTTTTAGTCAGGTGTTTTCCGGCAAAACAATTTTCATATACATACATAACATTTCTTTATTAATTTAATTCTTTCTGTGTTCATCTATAGTGGATAGACGTGTTTTAAATCGCTCTCACAGGAAAATAACATTGTGAATATAAATTCTTAATAAAAATATAAAAAAAGATAAGTAACAGCGAATGGACGCTAATTAAATACATACTTATTTATTTTTAATATTAAAAATACATTTAAATTAAATAAATTGTCGTTTTTGTTAATGCAATTATTAACAAAACAATTTATAAAAAAGCAAAAAGTATACAAAAAGAAAAAAATAACAACAAAACCTTAAATAGAGTGTAGTGTGTGTTATTGTGCATGAGTTTCTCTAACTCTCCAACAAGTGAAAGGAGGCTCAGTAGCAATGGAAAAAATGCATACTTTGTTATGAGCTCTCCATGCAACAACAACAATAATTATGACCCAAAAAATCATAAAAACTATTTAAGTGTAAGAACAACAACAAACGAGAGATCTCCTCTCTCAAGTGCGCCAAAACAGAACAATTGTGTAGATAATAGCGCAAAAGAAAAAATAAATAAACAAACAACAGATTCAAAAACAACAACAAACGAGAGATCTCCTCTCTCAAGTGCGCCAAAACAAGACAATTGTGTGGAAGACAAAGCAAAAGAAAAAATAGATAATCAAACAACTGATTCAATGGTTGATGTAAATAGTAATGCTAATGTGAACAATATCACAAATAGTACCAATAACAATATTAACACTGTGAAAACCATTAATGATAAGGAGGGTCACTCAAGCCCAATGTCAAAGAATACTGGTGCCATACCAAAAAATACTCCAAATTTATTGAGCTCGCATAAAACGCAAAAGATCCAAACGGGAATGGACCGTTATGTCACTTATGCAAAACGTAAGTCCAGCCCTAGGACTTCAAAATTGGAACCAAATCCAAAACAAGCGAAAACAAATTCCGTAAGTCAAAATCGTTTTGCACTGCTTGATAACCAAGAAAGTGAAAAAGTACCATCCATGACTTTAAAAGACCAAAAGCCACCTCCCCTCTATTTGCGCGAACCTACCACCAATCTATTGGTAAATAAGTTGTCCCAACTTGTAGGCAAAGAAAATTTCCATGTAGTCTCTCTACGGAAAGGAAACATTCAGGAAACAAAAATACAGACTTATTCAGAAAAGTCTTTTAGAACAATAGTTGATAGTTTTGATTCTGAGAAAAGAAATTATTACACGTATCAACTAAAAAGTGCAAAGGGTTTGACAGTAGTTATCAAAGGTGTAGACAGCTCTGTACCAACTGATGACATTAAAAAGGCGCTAGAGTCTGAAGGTTATGAAGTGAAGTCCATTCACAATATATTTAACAAGGACAAAATTCCCCAACCAATGTTTAGAGTTGAAATTACTTTTAACTCTTCACAATTGAAAAAAAAGGGTGATACTCATCCAATATACAGTTTAAGATATCTTCTCAATCGCAAAATAACTGTAGAGGAACCCATTAAGCGCAGAGGTCCTCCTCAATGCCTAAATTGCCAAGAGTTCGGTCACACCAGAACTTTCTGCAAATTACCATCTGTTTGTGTGAGATGCGGAGACATCCATAAGAGTCAAGATTGTCCTTACCCAAAAACAGATAACAATAAAAGAAAATGCAGTAACTGTGGTCAAAATCACACTGCTAACTATCGCGGATGTCCAGTATATCTACACATCCAACAATCAAATAAGGCCAGAAGACCTTTATATGCTCAATATAAAGCTTCTAACTTCCCAAGCCTTCCTAATACTTCTAGTGCTCAATATAGAAGTATCACAAATAAAAGCAATCAGAATAAATCGTATGCCCATACGACAAAAGAGGGTTCCGTTACCCAAATGAATGCAAATCAAACTTCTAGTGCCCAATATAGAAGTCTTACAAATAAGAATAATGAGAATTTGCAATCAAACAATGAAAATAATGCCCCATTATTTTCATATGCACATGCATTAAAAGAGGGTGTGCCTGCACCCGAAACAAATTCTCAAAGCTCTATTGAGAATCTAATTCAAACCATGAACAGTTTCATGGCAAATATGCAAAATATGTTTCAACAATTAATGCAGAATCAAAGCATGCTCATGCAGATCCTGCTAAATAAAAAATGAATTCTCTAAGAATTTGTTTTTGGAATGCTAACGGCCTTAGCCAACACAAGAATGAAGTAGAACAATTCCTGCTACTTCAGGAAATTGACGTACTACTCGTCTCTGAAACACACTTTACCCTAAAGAATTGTTTCAGAATTAATGGATACTACACTTATGATACAAAACATCCAAGTGGCAGAGCCCTTGGTGGAACAGCCATTTTAGTGAGAAAAAATATTAGACATTTCCCAATGCCAGAATACAAAAAGGACCATATCCAGGCCACCTCTATAAATATACCTGATAGTCGAGTTACAATATCTTCAATATATTGTCCTCCTAGGTATAATGTTAATCGAGAGCAGTTTCTCGAATACTTTAAAACTCTTGGCCCAAGATTCATAGCAGCTGGTGATTATAATGCAAAACATACATTTTGGGGCTCTCGCCTCATTACTCCCAAAGGCAGACAATTGCTAGAAGCAATATCGTACAACAGACTAGATGCCATATCTAGTGGCCAACCTACCTATTGGCCTACAGACCTCAATAAGATTCCCGATCTAATTGACTTTGCTGTAATCAAAAATATAAAACGAGAATTTATTTCAGTGATCCCTTCATTGGACCTCTCGTCAGACCACTCGCCTACAATTTTAACGTTATTAGAAACCCCAAATAAATTGGAAAACTATTGTTCTTGTTTCCCTAACAAGAAAACGAACTGGTTAAAGTATAAAATGTATGTTAGCTCACACCTGCCACAAAACATTTCATTGAAGAATGACCATGAAATACAATTCGCTGTCGATATATTTACGGATATCTTACAAGATGCTGTCAAAGTGTCTACACCCCCAGTCACCTTGGGAGACTTCAAAAAATCGAAATGTCCTAGGAACATTGAGTCTCTTATTAAAGAAAAGAGAACACTCAGACGTCAATGGCAACAATCACGATCTCCAAACATAAAGGTTAAACTTAATCAGTGCCAAAGAAGACTTCACATCGCTTTAAAGGATAATAAGGAATCTAATCTGAGAAATTATCTCAAAAACTTAGACCCTACTAAGAAAACAGAATATAGTCTCTGGAAAGCTGTTAAAAATATGCAGTGCCCTATTGCATATGAGTCACCTATACGCCTCCAGAATGGTCAATGGGCAAGAAATACGTCAGAAAAAATTGAAGCATTCGCCAATCACTTGGAGAATGTGTTTACTCAAAATGATACAGATTCTTCTATTAGTGCTAACATTATAAATAATGTGGTTCCACACCCAATAAAATTCCGGTTCTCTACCGTGAAGATGACAATCAAAGGTCTAAAGGCAGGAAAATCACCTGGTATAGATAAAATTACTACCACGATGATAAGTAACCTGCCCAATTCAGCACTGAGAATTATTTTGTTCATCTTTAACTCGATGCTACGTATTGGATACTTCCCTAACTCATGGAAAGTATCCGAGATTGTTATGATACCAAAACCGGGGAAAGATGTCACTCAAGTGACATCATACCGTCCCATTAGCCTGTTGTCTTTATTCTCAAAACTTTTTGAAAAGTTATTGCTTGAAAGCCTTTTAGTACACTTTAACGATAATCGCATTATTCCTGGCCATCAGTTTGGTTTCAGAAGAAAGCACAGCACTATCGAACAGGTACATCGAATAACAACTCTTATTCGGAAGGCCTTCGAGAGCAAGCAATATTGCTCTGCATTATTCATAGATATTTCTCAAGCTTTTGATAAAGTCTGGCACGATGGACTAATACACAAAATTATCACATTACTACCTGCGAATGTTCACAAACTGCTTAAAAATTACATATATGAAAGATCTTTTCAAATCAGATCTAAAGATGTGATCTCTTCACGTCGAAAAATATCTGCTGGAGTACCCCAGGGGAGTATTCTAGGTCCGCTCCTATATATTTTATATACTGCAGATATGCCAACGAGCGCACTGACTCACACATCTACATTTGCGGATGATACCGCTTTTGTAAGCATGCATGCAAACCCTTCAATAGCTTCTGAACAACTCCAGTTTCACATCGGCGAATTGGAAAAATGGCTGGACAAATGGAAAATAAAAGTCAATGCTACAAAATGTACTCACGTTACATTTACTTTAAGAAGGGAAAATTGTCCTCCCGTGCAGATAAACAATATAAAAATTCCTGAACAAAGCCATGTGAGATATCTTGGTATCCACCTTGATCGCCGCTTAACATGGACTCACCACATTGAAGCCAAGGTTACACAAATAAAATTAAAGTCAGCTCAATTGTACTGGCTAATTGGACCACGGTCTGCTCTAGACTTGGAGTACAAAGTGCTTTTGTACAAAACAGTTATAAAACCGATATGGCTATACGGCATTCAACTGTGGGGAACAGCCTCCTCATCTAATGTTGAAAAATTACAAAGAAAGCAGTCAGCACTGTTAAGGTCAATAACAGGTGCCCCGTGGTACATTCGCAATAGTAATATTCATAGGGATCTCAATGTCCCCATAATACGCGAGGAGATCAAACTCTCTTGTTTAACCTACCTGTCGAAACTAATGGATCACCCAAATCCCCTTGCCAGGGAGTTGCTGTCATTTGAGGGTCATAGACGACTGAGAAGAACGGAAACATTGGATTTTGCCAGATAATCAAATTATCGAGAACTTTTGTTGAAATTGCAGTGGCAATAACGACGTTAGTTATAGTTTAGGTTAAGATTTCAATACTTATTGTAAATTTCTATGTAAGAAAGATTCAATAAATAATAAGTAAAATGAAAAAAAAAAAAAAAAAAAAAAAAAATTTAATGAAATTGAAATTATTTTTTCTAAGGAAATTATAAAACTCAGCAAAAGTTTGGTCCTTCAACATAATACTTAATATTTTGAGAGATAAAAAATTTTATTTTAGTGCTTCTGTTTTAAATGTACCTATTACTTATATAAATGTTAATATTATTTAAGTCAAATTATTTGTATTCTAAAAAAATACAATTTCAATTCCGAATAACTTCCAAAAAAGAGCATAAAAATTACTTCTAGAGAATGACTTCAGAAGTAGTGAATTTGGCGTAAAATAAAAAGGATCCCACCTATGACAAGCCTGTGTTAAAATCATCACTTCTTGAGGCCTTTTTCCGTACTTTCATGGAGTAAATTCAACTTCTTTTTCGCTTCTTTGGAAGTTCTTTTTTTGCTGGGTACCATATAAAGTCTTGCTTACATTGAAGTTGTGTAATAATGCTTTAATAATGTGATATGCATATAAATTTATTTTAATCTTTTTACCTGTAAGCATTATTGGTAAGTATTGGTTTCCAGTGACATCAATGTGTTCAAATAATAACTAACTTTTTAATTCCTAATTGTATAATGAAAGTTTTTACTGGGAGTATTTGAAAAAGTTTAATTCAAATACCACTTTGATGATGTACACTATAATTAACGATATTTTAAAGTTTCTCTCGTTTAAAAATATATTATAATTTTCTTTTCCTATTTTTACCTTTTCAGCATACCAATAGTCCTGTTACATTTTTTATTGATAATTTGGATCCAAGTGCCACATATCGTATGATTATATTTGCAATTAATGCTAAAGGACGTTCAGAGCCAATTATTATCGATGACATTAATTTTAAAGGTGTTGCTAAATTTACAGGTAAGTACGGCAATATCATAAAGAATTTCAATAAAATATCAAAAATCCTTATAGAGCCCTAAAAAGAAAAATAATAAAATATAACCAATAACCGAAAAAATTTAGTTTACAAATTTAAAACAAAAATATTAAACGAGCCCATATGAAGTCAATAGCCTTAGGCTCTTATTCATAATCTTTTATCAAAGGCTTATACAACAAAATACGTATTTAGATATGAAACGTATGGTTGTTACGAAATTGTGTGTATTAGAAATTAATCATACGCAACGTAGGTCTGTGTAATTAATTATATGAAGAAAGAAGTAAGTAATTTAGGAAGTTTTGTAAAACTTTCACTAAGTTTCTACTCCATTACAGTGACTGTTATTTCTTTTTAATTTACATACACCTATCCCTTTATTTATATGGTATATACGTTTCAGAAAAAAATCGTGTAAACCGACTTCAAAAATGTTTGTATGGAAAATCTTGTAAATTAAAAAAAGTAATTAATTAAATGCTGAATATTAGTTTATTTATTTTAATTAAAATAATATAAAAAACAATATTAATTCAAATAACTTCATTTAAAAGCACTAAAATGAAATACATGCAGCATGAATCAAAAATACAATTTACAACATAAAATATCTTTCTCTTATTTCAAAATGTTCATCGAAGTTGATCTTCTTAACACGACAAAAAAAAGCGCGTTGAAGAGAGATCTTACAAAAAAGTTAATAGGTGTATAGGTGTACTGATCTATTTAAACTCACCAGTAGTATCATATCCTTATAAACAATTTTCATAAATGTTTATTTAATATTACGTTTATAAATTTTCCAAATACCCTGAACATGCCTTTTAATTCGCAAATTATTTGCCACAACATGTTGCAACATACAAGTTCTGTGTAAATATATTAAAAACTATTTCCTCACTCTCTTCCATAAAGTAGTCAGCTATCTAAATAAAATGCAACTGTTTTGTGTATTTTTTGTATTCTACCCTATTTTCAGACATAACAACTATAAAATATGGTACCTTAGGGCGGATGTGACTAAAATGAAACTATCAATAAAAATTGCATTATGCAAAACAGGATATTGACTTTAAAGATTTTTTTGTTTTGTTCCACTGCTGCAGTTTTTGCCTGCATGTGGGTTTATAGAGACATGTGCGAGTGTATGTGTTTGATTTTTTTAACAGCTTCCGTTGGAACCAAACAACTTCCACTTATGTAGTTATTTGTATGAGATCAAAAATATATTTATCTCATCATATGCATATATTTTCACATTTATAATATTTTTTATGTGTATATGTATGTAGTAAATTTAAAATGCAATAGTTTGTCTAAGGGAGGAAAAATTTAAATATAAAAATTTTTTGTATATACATAAACAGTAGTATGGTACCAATTTTAAACAAGCAAAAAAGAAATTGATATCTTTACTAAATTGAAAAGTAATTTTTTTTATTAATTTTTGTTTTGATCCAACGATTACACTTCTAAAACGATCTAGATATATGTATGTCTGTCTGTCTGTCTGTCTTCCGATAAAAATTTAATACATACAATTTATTAAAAGTGGTTAAAAAAAGTCGGCTCAGCCAATTAATACACTTAATTGTTACTTTCGAATTGGATCTATACATTTTATACTTTATTTTATTTAAATTTTCTAAATTTTGTTTATAGACACACGTTTTTCTATTTCCATATACATACAATCTAACATGCACCAAATCACATAATATGTCATAGAATTGCAAAATTTTCATGTTCTATTTACTATCAAACTGAGAATAACACATACTAAAGTGTTTGGTATAAGATTTCATATAAGTATATAAATTCTATTTCTTCATTGTAGTATTTTCAAGTAATATAAGTTGAAGTTGAAAAAGTTAGAAATCTTATGCTCTAAAGAATGAGAAATTTTCAAAGGCCAAAGGATTTTCTACTAAACAACAGGTGGCAGTAGTTAATAGTTTTTCATAATGACCTTATACAATACATATATTTCAGAGAATAAAACGTTTCTTATATTTGTAATACTGAAATAATATGGTATTGACCCCACCCTCCGGGGTGGGGCCAATACCCACCCTTGGTGTATTGCAAACTATGGACTCCTTTCACTCACTCCTCGGCTAGTCCTTGGATGATTTGACATAGGGTCTAACCAGTACATAATCTGGTACTATGGGTGGTCAGTTGCCCGCAGGACTTGTCCTGGCTAGTCAGTTGTTTGAGGTTCCTTTGGAATCCACGTAGAGATTGTTGTTGCGGTTAAAAGACTGATGCACGGTGAAATCTATATTTCGGGTTAAATTCGGTGCTATTGCCGAATGACAATAGAATAGGAGTGACTGTGGGACTAAGCATTGGAAATGAATTGGTGTTAATTGTATATGGTACAGGATGAATGTAGTGGTATACGGAACTCATCTGCCCGTATACCTAGAGTGAGTCGTATATTGTCGCATAAATTATAAGTGTGCAGGGTTGAATGGTAATGGATGTCCAGGCATGTTCAGAGTAAACTCTGTTCATACTAGATTAACCACAGTTTGTCAGTGTGAGTAAGAACAAAGTCTCGGTTTATTTGATGGATTCGTACTTCGGTTTACCATCTGCGTGTTGTAAACGGAAGTGATGTTTTTGCATTTTTGAAGTAAAGCAAAGGGCTGCAATGGTCAGAGATTAGACAGCTGAAGTGCATGAGCCACCTGCTTGTAAGAAGCTCAATGGGGCGGTGGTTAGTCGTCTCAAAAGCTCACTAAGTGGTTAAAAAAGACCACCGTGAAATAGGCCAACACAGCAGATTTTCACGTTAATCTGGTATTGCCCACATGTGTATTGTGTATTACTATGTGCTTAACGTCATAGTAATTATGATAAAATGTTTAAAACTTTTTAAGCAAATTAACATTTCTAAAATAATTTTTTTAATCACAAATAAAAATTAATTAAGTTATTTAATACTTTCTCAATATTATTTTTTCCTCGAACACATTTTTTATAGAATCTATATTTCACCAACACTAATATTTTCGTTTTGGAAGTAAAGAAAACTAAATCAAATTAAACTTGATACCAAACAAAAAAGTCTTCGAATTAACTTGAAAATGTTTTTAAAGAGTGTCATTAAAGAACTTCTAAGTCATAAAGTAAAGTAGTTGCTGTCTTCCTTTTTCAAAAAAGAAAAAACTAATACAATTTTTACCTTTTGCCATTGAAATAAAAAATACGTGTATGTAAGTAAATTGTCTTCAAGCTCTTTTCTCCCTGTTATATAGTCAAACTACCAAACATTGCTATTTTTTGCACTAAACTAAAATAGTATAAAAACAAAAAAAGACAAAAAGAATAGCTAGCTGTAGAATTTTTTCGTTAACAATAAAGTTAAACAAATATTTATGTTGTTGTTGTGTTAAAGTTTTTACTTTTTTACCTTCATGATGTTCGTACAACTTGTTAGTAACATTTCTAGTTCGTTTTATTGTTCTCAGGCATTCTATATGTGTGTTTGTGCAACTATACAACATTTCTACTTCAACAGATTTTTCTAAGCCAAGTTGCATTTATTCCCTTTTTTCGACAATTTTTTTCCTGTACATTTCCACTATTTATTTTACAGCAATGCTGCTGTAGTTTCTAGTTTGTCTGGGAAACCTTAAAAATTCTCAGTTTTTTTTTTTTTTTTTTTTTTTTGGTAACAAAAATATTTTTTTCGGTAGAGTGTGTCCTTTTGTTTTGCAATACAAATGCAATTGACTTTGGTTTATTGTTTTTATTCTTTGTCTGTATGCTGCTACGAATAGATTCATTTTTGAGTTTTAATTCGTTGTTTCCGTTCAAATGGTTTTATTTCTACATCTTATGTCATGCAATATACATGTACAATCTACACGTTTTAAACTTACAGTATGTGTGTTTCGAAGCTGACTTAAACTATTTTGTGGACCTTTATATTCATTTACAATGAAACATAAATATTTATGGTATCTACATATCTTGCGGAATCCCTTGTCTATTGGTTTTTGGTTCAAAGAAAAAAACAAAAAAACGTTTTTAGAGCTTCATGAGTTATTTCAAGTTATTTGTTTATTATTTTAGTACAAAATTATTTTGCTGTGACCTTTACAGACAGACGCATGAAAAACATTATGACGAACGTCTTCGAATTTTAAATCAAAAACTGTATGTTTATATTCATATGAATAGTATGAGGATTACAAATTAAATTCATTTTTAACAGAAGAACAAAATATCTTTATCATAAAGAAAAACTATTCAATTTGTATGTATTTATATTATTTTATTATATTTTCCTTCTTTCCAGGTGCTTCCAATGGTCTAACCGTTCCTCTATCACCATTTTTAGCTGGTTTAACATTATTTTGTGCTTTATTATTTGCCATATCTTGTATTATATTGGCAGCTATTTATAGACGATTTTCAAATCGGTAAGTATGAGTATTTACTTTTATGTTAAATATTTTACAACTTTATGTTTTGTTAAGGATTTGATCATAATTTGGTTTAAAATTTGGTTAACTATAACTAACAACAAAAAAAAACTTAAAGAAAACTTACATATGTATCAAATTGCAAGTTGTTAAGGGTTCAAAGTGAATTGTATTTAAACTGTAAATCAACAATGCTAAACAATATTTGCTGAAAGGGAAACCTTAACTAATAGGAATGAAAGGAAAACCTTAACAAATAGGTTTGATTAGAGCTGTAATTCGGACGCAATAGGAATTGTTCATAGACTCTACCCCCGATATACTTAACCACTCTTATATAAAATTTGTATATTGTCAATATATATAGAAAATTCTAAGAAAATTATTTGTAGGCTGTCATATGGTTGGCCACATCCGTCATTAAATTCTTAATTGTTTTTATTAAAAAATTTATTAGTTAAACAATAACATTGTGTTAAATGTACTTAATTTTAATAAATACTCACATCAAAACAATAATTTTTCCCTTTCCGTCCTTTTTACTGAAATAATTTCCTCTTCTATCACATTACCCCAATATAACCAACGTTCTACAGAACTAATGTTAAATTATATGTTGAAAAAAAAAAGTATAAAAAAGAAACACTCCACAGAGGGGGTAATTTTATTTAATTAAAAGTAATCGAGTACTCAACTACAAATTTTATGTAACAAAACGGAAATAAAACTAAAAGAAAATGACGAAACAAAAGGAAGCCCTTAATATTTCAAAAGATATTTAAGTTCAAAAAGAAAATCTAAAAACTGCCATACTTAAACAATACTCATAGCAGCAAAAGTATAAGAATAATATTAAAGTATTTGTAATATACATAAATAGCTTAAGGCCAGTAGCGTAAACTAATAGTCTATAGTTAACGCTAAGACGTCTAGCAAAATAAACAGCAAAAACAATATTAACAAAAAAAGAAAATGTAATGAAGGCAAAAAAAAAGGATCATTTGCTTAATATTAATGTTTTAAGGTTATATTTTTGACATGGGCTGTCAACGCTTAGCAATCACACGGCCAGTCAGTAGTTGAAGGGGGAGAAGGGCTACTGGGGGCTGTGGTAGTTATGATGTTGTAACATTATACCCAACACCCATCCAGCAAACACCCAAAGTTTGGTATATTTATTTATTATTGTATTTTTTTCATTTTGGGTTAATTTATTTAATGTTATACATTTTGATGAGTAGGCGTCATGTTGTATTTAAGTTGAGGCAGCTGTTAAAATAAAATATCTTTTTTCAGTTTTTTTTTCTTTTTCTATAAGTTGTCAAATTTTCTATTTTATCTGTTTTATTTATAAGTATGAGAAAATAAGTAAAAATCTATATAATTTTAAATATTGTTTTGTAATAATATCTAAAGTCCATTAAGCACAGACAGTTATTTGCTGCTCGTGCCTTATATTGATTTTTATTTTTTTCAATATTAAAAATTTCTATGAGAGTATTTATATATACTTTCACTTTACAGAACAAATGACAACAATTTAAAGCCTACCAAACACACACAACTGTCTATACCCGCCGATTGTCAATTGGATCCATTACAGCCGAATCATCATCATAATCATTATGAACAAAATAATCATCAGGCCCATCATAGTCTATTACAATCAAATGGCGATGGTAAATTACAAATGAGTGGTGGTGGCGGCGGTGGTGCATCGCCAACGGGTGGCAGTGTTAGTATTGGTGTAATGGATACATCAACATTAAGGTCGACAACACAAAGTCATCACCGTCAGTCGCCACAAATAATGGGTGATCCGCCCGAAGGCGATGATACCGATCCAGATGTTATACCAAATCAATATGGTAAGTTGTATGAAATATTTTGTTTATATTTATGTTTTTGTATAATAATTGCCAAGGATATTATATATTCAGTTAGAATTTTGTTTATTATTTAGATTTAATTTTTTTCACATTTTTCAGTTACAATATTAAATTAAAGGTAGTTTTTATATGTCCTTTTTTGAATGGTAAAAAAAATTGTTGCTGTTTAAAATTTGGCAAATATTTGTAGACATTGTTGACACCATTCACTGCCAGTTAGTTCACAAGCCAAAAAATTTTTTGGTTTGTAAACAAATTAATTTTAAGTATTTTAAATTTAGTTATTTGTTGAAACTTATTGCCAATATTTGCTGGTTATTGATTATTAATAAGATTAAGAGTGATCAGAAATAAGTGATTAGTTTACTTTAAGATTGTTATTTTCTCTCATTTATCATAGAAAACTCAGCTTTATGTTAGAAATTTTTCGATAAATGGTTAAGAGGGACTATACTATCTTTTAAGTAAATTTCAATTTCCTTAGTTCTATGTATATCGTTCATTATATTTTTCATTCATTATAAATTAATTCATAGCACTTTATACCAAATTTTACCTTAAAATTTTAAATAAATTAAATAACTGATTATGAGTACGGCCTAAAGCTTTATATTTTTACAGTCTTCCTCATTTTCAATTCTTAACAAAATAATATAGAATTTATTTTAATTAACATAAGTACATTTATGTTTATAAACAAATTTTCATATAATTTTATTTAATTACAGAAAAACGTCCATTAAAGTCAATGTTGGCTTCACCGATATTCCGTAGTCCATCAGCGCGTCTACTGCAACGTGACTATTGCACAACGGATGCTGTTACAGACGGCAGCGTAACAATGGGCAGTGGGAGTGTTATTGGCATAACAAATGGTTCAGCTTTAAGTTGTACGGATGGTGTATCTAGTTTAGGTTCATTAAAAAGTAATAATGGTAGCCTTGGTGTTGGCAATGAGGTGCTGCATTACACATTTAGGCCAAGTAAACAAATTGTAAGTAAATAACAATAATAAAATTTCAACACAAAAACAAAAACTTGCAAATAATTTGTATATACATGTATCTGCTACTTATATACATACATAGGTATCTGGTATATAAAACTGCTGAATAAAATAAAAACAAAGACAAATACAAATACAAACACACAGATAGTATACACTAAATATTTGGATATTCGACCCTTCAAACATTTAGAAGACAAAACTATTGCGCATCACCCCAGACGCCACGTCAGAAACACTTCTGGACGATTGTCAGACGAGAACGCACATTTTACAAAAACAAAATACATTGATTTCGAATTTTCGTCTTCTAGAAATATACTTTTAAGTTACTTCCGGATGATCGTTAGAAGAGTGCATCCATTTTGCTTAAACAAAAAACCATGACTGTTGAATTTTTTTCATCTGGAAGTATACGATTTTGTGACTTCTGTATGAGAGTTGGGTGAGAACATACATTTTACAATAACAAAATACATTGTTTCCTAATTTGTATCTTCTTGATTTGTATGTTTTTGTCACTTCTGGAAGACAGTTTGAAGAGTGTTCACATTAATGTTGTATTTTATTCATCTGGAAGTGTGGATTGTAGTCACTTCTGGACGATTGTCAGACGAGAGCACACATTTTACAAAAACAAAATACATTGATTTCTAGTTTTCGCCGTCTGGTAGTATTCTTTTAGGTTACTTCCGGATGATAGTAAAAAGAGTACAAAAACAAAAAAATATAAATACTCCATTTTTTAGCGTGAACGCGAAAAAAATAAAAATAAATAATGCAGAAATTTTGCTAAGTTCAGTGATGTTTTGTGTTTTGTCCAGTCATGTTCAGTTTTAATTATTCATTGTAAAACTTAAATGAGTTATTGAATTTAATGTTCATAGAAAAATAGTGTAATTAATATATTGTGAATCTTAAGTAATAAAAAACAATATGACAGTGTTGTGTTAAAAGTCAACTGTTAATAAACATTTAAGAAGGTTTTGTTAATTGGCGAAGTTTATTAAATATATACCAAAAAGTAATTATCTTCAAGGATTATATAAATAAAATTAAAAAGTAAGTTGTCATATTTTGCATTAAAATACTATTTTAGGAATAAGTCAACAACTCTAAACGGCTTCCATTTCCATTATTTTTAAACGAAGTCTAATATGTTTAATTAAAAATGTTTTTATATTAAATTTCGTCTTTCTCTTAATTGGTTTAAGAGTTATAAGCATTTAGAGACTTTTTCAAGTTGTACGTTTCGGCTTTCATTTGATGGACATTGCATTTTTAACCTATTTAGATTTATTTGAGTTAAATATTAACTTTCAATATTTTATAAACTATTTGCGCGTTTAGGTTCTGTTTCTAGATTACGTATGATCACTTTGAGCTAAAATTTTATTTGTATTTCATTATCGTAACAAAAACAAAATACATTAAGATTTTTACTTAAAGTATTCAAACCCTATCTGGAATCATTATATTGAAATTAATACTACTAATTTATACATACATTATTTTTTGACTTGGGTCACTCGACACGAAATTGCCCATATAAGATAATTAATATTGAAATCAGATATCTTTAAACCCACCTTTTTTAAATAAATACAATTTTATTAATTTTCATATAGCTTTGGATTTAATTATTCTAATTATAGGTACTTTGTTAGTTATTAACATCAGGTCTTTCTATGACCTATCATATGATACTAATATTCTTAATATTGAGCATGCCGTTCCCAAGATATTAAACCTAAGTAGATAGTTTTTGAACGTGTATAACTCCTTAATTAGAAGAGAGCAAACAAAAAATAGTATTGCAGTATTAGTGTCAAAAACAATATCCCGTTTAGGGTCGTTAAGGTGTTTCTATCGTTAGTTATAATTTTAAAAATAATCCATGGCTTAGTAATTTCAGATCTTTATAGATGGTTTAATTCCAAGTTATTTAAAAAATGTTCATGAAAGGTAATGTTTTTATTGATTCAAAATAATAAATAAATTAATTAATTAATTTTTAATTATTTTATTTTTTTAGAAAGCAGTAGCTAATATTGTATCCCCTATTAAAATACTTCTAACCGAATTAAAATATAACAAAGGGATCTGGTAAGTTATATATGTCTTATTTCATCACGCGGTTCGATTATTTGCAGAAAAAGTAAAAAATGGATCTGACCGTTTAAACTTTGGTGGTAAATGTATTGGACATAAGAGAATCCTATTTTTATTGCTTCCTAAAGTATAACAGGTAATTTCAATAAATACAAAAGTATGTATATTCAATATTAATTATAGCATTATTTTGGTTTATTTTGTTGAAGGATTAATGCGTTCCAAAATATAAATCTTACAATTTGATGGATTGATCATAAAATTTATGAAGAACTACAAAAATATTTTAGAGTCCAACGTTTTACAATTTTTGGAAGTATACCAGTCAACAGTTGGAATATTAATACAGATTTCCTGAAAATTATCTATTATAAGGTAATAATTCTAAATTTTTGATACATATGTATGTACACTCCCACTCTGTATGGAAAGCAAAAACGTGTTTTTGTTACCCCTCTCAAAATTTACCTTGCTTTGTTTTATGATGATTCCCAAAATATTTTAAGTCTAGGGATGACCGTTCGTGAGCTGGACTAAATTAAAAAAAGGTATTTTGGAATTATTTTTTTTTAAATTTTTGTTTTGAAACAAAATATCCAATACGGTGTATCGTTTAAAAAGTATTTTAAAGCCGCGTCCAATGATGTATTAATCATAAATAACCGTCTGCTTATAATTGTCATATTCCAAAATATTTAAAATTGTTAGGTTTTTCACTAAGAAAAATAAAATGTATGCACAATTTTGCAAATTTTGCGCACCACTAGACTTGGCTTCAAAAAACTTTTCAAATGATACCACATACTGTATATATTGCTTAAGAACTGCTGTATAATTTAAAACAAAATAACTGAAAAGGGACTTTTTTGTAACCGGTTCAGCTCACGAACGGCCATCGATAGACTAGAAATATTTTGGGAACCATTATAAAACATAACAAAGATTTTTTGAAGCTGGGTAAAATATTGAATTTAACATGAAGAATAGTGTTCCCATACGATATTTTCTTTAAAACTATCCAGCTCACTAATGGACAGCACTTAACCGAAAATATTTTGGGTAACATCATATTACATAACAGCGAATATTTTGAGGGGGTAACTCAAGCACCATTTTTTGTGAGTCGGTCTAATGTACATATATTACTTTTTTAGATTAGTTGTTAAATCAATTATTTTTTCTACTATTTTAATATCAATTATTTCAATAAAAACTATAAAATTTCATTTTATTTAGATTTATTTTTATAGATTATATTTTGGTGAGTATACAAATAGAAGAAGAGAAAACTCATCTTCTAGAAGACGAGGATACTCATCTTCTAGAAGAAGAGAAAACTCATATTCCAGAAGAAGAGAAAATTCATCTTCTTGAAGATAAGATAGGAACACTTCTAGATGATACTAGGTAGTCACTTCAAGAAGTGACTTCCTAGTCACATCTAGAAGAGTCTTTGGCAATATCTTACTTCCAAGAGTCATCTAGAAGTTTCTTCTGCGGGTCTTCCAGAAGTATCTTCCACGTTACTCTTAGACGTTCCCCAGCTCGGCATCAGTTCTTCCCGACTGGTGACAAGAATTCTTATACTTCCGCAACATCGCTAGCGAGCTTTTAGCACGTTTGGAAGTTTCACACGGGTAACTTCCGCAATAGAAAATGTTTGTAGGGGAGGAATTTAAATTTACTTTCCATTTTCAGGCAGATTATTTACAATGGCGTAGTTGGGAAAAAAAAAACATAATTCTATAGAAATGTTATTTTGACTTAATGGCTTTAAATTAGAAATAATTAAATACGATTTTAAAAATTTTTAAAGCAAAATTATAATGATTTTTATTTTTATAAAATATGTATATAAAACATGATGAACTTCTATAAATTATTAAACTATAGTTTAATAAAATTAATAGCTTTTAATAAAATCGTATTTGTTTGGTTATTATTGCTTAATTTTTTATTAAAATATTTTTAGAAAAAAATTACATTTCAAGGTATAAATTCAAAATCCTTTGTTCAGACTTATGTATTAAAAAAAATTTGAATGTTATACAACATTGCTAACAACATTTTATGTTTTACAATAATAATGGTCTTCTTTTCATGAAAGAATTATATTATTTAAAATAATAATTGGCAATAATATACCTTTTATCCCATAAGAATCCTTTATTATGCCCTACACCATCATAGTGGGGAGCAGCGTTTAAATATGCAGCACTAGCACCACCTCTCTTGTATATGACTATAAAATAAATATGAAAGTTTATAATTTTTGTATCACTTTGCTACTAAAAATTGCAGTCATATATATTCGTATTAATATAAAAATTGCAACTCGTGTTTGCAATTTCTAGTAGCAGGCAGACATAATTGCAGGCCAACACAAATATATTTTGTGCTTAGCTACTGCCAGTTGTAGTTTTATTTATTATTTTTTGGCAATTTGATGCTGCAATTTGTAAATAACTATGTATTAGTATGTATGTATTATGTATGTATGTATGTATGTATGTATGTATGTTTATGTTGTATGTATGTATGTATGTATGTAGTATGTATTGATGTATGTATGATGTATGTATGTTGTATTTGTATGTATGTTTATTATGTAGTGTATGTATGTATGTCTGTAGATGTATGTATTTGTATGATGATGCTGTATGTATGTATGTTGTCGTAGTGTCTGTTATGTAGTATGTATAGTATGTATGTATGTATGATAGTATGTATGTAGTAGATTATGTATGATGTATGTATGTATGTATGTATGTATGTATGTAGGTATGTATGTATGTATGTATGTATGTATGTATGTATGTATGTATGTATGTATGTATGGATGTATGTATGTATGTATATGTATGTATGTATGTATG